TTCAGCAGTGCCTTCTTGTCCTCACAAACAAACTCACAGAACTCACACTTGAACCTGGAGGCGGTCAAAGCAACGAGAGCTCAGCGCGGGGCTAATGGGTGTTCCCACCCAAGGCCTCCCCAGGGGCTGTACCTGCGGTTGGCCACGGCCTGGATGTGCGTGAGCAGATGCATCTTAAAGGTGTAGCGCTTCTTAAAGGACTTCCCGCACTGTGAGGGGTGGGTGGATTAGATGGGACATGCCCAGGGAAGGCCCTTGCCCCACTCCCAGCCCAGCCCCAGGGTGGCCCCACCCACCTTGTCACACATGTGGGGCTTCTCAGTGCTATGTGTTTTCATGTGCTGCGTGAGTCTCTTCTGCATGGGATACACGCGGCCACACACAGGGCAGGGGAAGGAGCTCAGCTTTGGGGTCTGGAGAGTACAAAGAGAGGCCAGATAGAGAAGGCAGAGGGAAGAGGAGCCCTCACCTCCTGAGCCCCACCTCTATAGGCACCCCAGGTGGGCTCCCTTCCCAGGTTGGGCCCCCAGACTCACCGGATCTGGTCTTTTCTTCCTGGGGAGAAAAGCCCAGGAGTTAGACCACAGCTTCCACAGGCATACCCGAGTCCCTCCCTCAGACCAGCCCCAGCCCCGAGCAGCCCAACTCCCTGCCTAGCCCGCCTCTTAGGGCAGGGCACTCCCACCTGGAGCTCACGGGGTAAAGGCTATGAGGCACCCCAGATGACACACCTACACTCAGCCACCCACACAACAGCTATCCCCATTTTACAGAGGCGAAACTAAGGCTTGCAACAGGGCAGAGACAGAATTGGGACTTGACTGGGGCCCTCATGGCCCTGCTACAAGCCCTGTTCTGGGCCCAGTGGTGACGAATCACCTTGCCCTCCTCATCACAGCTGTATGATGTGCCAAGAATGGGGCTGGCCCAGAGCAGGTGCTGGGGAAATAGGAGATCATCTAGGGCCCCCACTTCCACACCCGCCTGGCCTTCCCTGCCACAGCCCACCCACACCCACTGACCGGTCCCGGCTGTGCACGGCTGCGTGGCGGGTGACGTCCTTCCGGTAGACGCTGGTGTAGCTGCACTCGTCACACTTGTAGGGCTTGCTGCCCACGTGGTTGAACATGTGTTCCTGTGAGAGACCAGGAACAGGGGGCTATGGCTCGTTCCTCCCGGCCCCGCCCTGTCCCGTCTGTGCCACTGCCCTAGGGCTGCTGCAGGAGAAGGCTCACAGCACAAGGGAGCCAGACAGCAGGCCCTGCTAGAGGGGTCAAAACCCAGGAAGACTAAAGACTGTCCCCACCGGGAACGCTCACTCTGGCCAGGCCCTGGCTGGCTCAGTACTTGACAGAGGAGGAAACTGAGTCTCAGGGTGAAGGCACCACCCTTCAGGCAGAGCTTGGATCTACACCCAGGCGAGTCCTTAGCCCCACAGCTGAGCACTTCCCAATATGCCATGCACTCCACGCAGTGTAGTGCCCGGAGCACAGCCTCTAGGTTATAGGTCCCAGTCAGTGTAGAAGGAAGCCCTGCAAGAAAGCAAAGGGGCTCTGACCACCCCTGCCTGGAGCACCCCTGCCTACACTGGCCCAGAGGCCACTGGTCAGACCAATCTGCAGTGTCCGGGGTTGGTGAAATGCAACTGTGGAAACCTAGGTTCTGCTGGGCTGTGTAAGGATAAAGTAATCCAGGTCTAGGATAAGAGATAGGCTCAGGGTTGTTATAGGCCTGCCTGGCACCTTGGGGTTGAGACATGTTACTGCCATCTGTTGAAAGCCTCACATAAACAGATGAACCAGTTCTACTGCCATCTGCCAGTCTCTGGTGGTGAAAAGCAAATCTGTGATGTCCTCAATGCAAAAAGCACCCTTGAAAATGTGATGCTATCATGCACGGGGCAACCTTCAAGCCCACGGTGGTGGCCCTTCCCACCCCTTCGCACATTCCAGCAGGCTCCGAAGAGCTAACAGGCATTCCTCATCATGTAAGCAGCTGACATGCCCTGCAGTTAGTCGAGAGGCTGCCCCAGAATACCTGGGTAACTCCGCTCCCTCTCAGTGCCACCTTCCCACGCCCACCTTCCTATTACGCACCTTGAGCGAGGACCAGCGACGGGAGCGGTAGCTGCACTGCAGGCACTTGAAGAGCTGGGGGTCGCCAGCCTCGTGGGAGTTGACATGGAAGCGCAGGTCCTCGTGGGACAGGAAGCGGGAACCGCAGATGCGGCATAGGAAGGGCCTCAGAAGCGGCTTGGGTGACTTATAATAATACCTGCCAGGAGGGTGTTGGGGAGAGGTCTGGCTCGGCCAGGGGCCCAGGGGATGCCCCCACCACTGTTCCACATACTTGCGGTACTTCTTGCCCAGGAAGCGCCTGGAGGGGCGACCACGGCGGCGGGGTGGGGCAGCGGGCTCGTCCTGACAGGAGGGTGCTGCATTCTCTGCATCTGACTGACTCACCCCAGGTTCCAGGGCAATCCTGCTGGCCTTGTCTGGGGCCACCAGGTGGCCTGGGCCTGAGGAGCTGGGGACCTCGGAATCCTGTGGCTCTGGAGGGTTCTGTCCACTCTGGGAACTCACTAGAGGCTCTCCTTCCACACCTGCACAGATATACCAGTCTCCAATCAGCCACAGACATACCAGGACACACGTGGACAGGTGGCTGGGACCAGCCAAACTTACACCTGCCAGTCACAGATACTGATGGGCATATCCGGCAGGATGAACAGACGGTGCATGGTCAGGGGCACTGTGCCTCCCTTGAGACTAAGCTGGAGGGTTGAGGGGAGGGAGTGTAAGACTTCATTGCACACGCTTGCAAACCTTTTGAAGTCTGAAGGATCTGAATGCTTCCTCTTCAAAACATCAATGGTAATTATACATACATATGTATGTATTTTATTATTATTAAAGATGATATAGGTAGAGTGGGGACCAGCAGATAGCATAATAGTTATGTCGCTGCGTAGTCAACAGCAGTTCGAATCCCAGACCTATTGGCTTGAAACTCACACCAGGTTCATGTGACTGCGTGTCCCCAAATCCTGAGAGGAGAATGGAGAAGGGATTGCAGCACGGCCACCCCCACTCCAGGGGCGGGGGGCGATTTCTTGCTTTCTGTCTCTCTTTCTCTTGAGCAAGCACACATGCCCTATAGCAAAAACGTCTCTTAAAAAAAAGAGAGAGAAAAAGATACAGATGGGGCCAGCAGGTAGCGTGGTGGTTAAGACTCAGGACTCTGGGACCAGCAAATGGAGTAATGGTTATGTGGCAATTGTGGTTTGAGTCTTAGACCCAGTGACTTAAAACTTATGGCAGGAGCATGTGCACGTGTGCCCAAGATCTGAAGAGGAGAAGGGATGTGGCGTGGCCATCTCCCCCCTCCCCCCCCATTTCTTGCTTTCTTTTCTATCTCCCTGGTGAATGCATGTACCCTATAGCAAAAATCTCTCTTTAAAAAAAAAAAAAAAGATTAGATTCCTATATGACTGACCATAGTTTGAGTCCTAGACCCAGCGGCTTAAAAATCATGCCATGTATGTGTGCGCCCAAAATCCCAAGAGAGTGATTTCTTACTTTCCCTCTCTGTCTCTCTCCAGCTAGTGCAAGTGCTCTATAGCAAAAACCTTAAAAAAAAAAAAATTCACCCTGCCCCATCTCTCTCTCCCTAACTGGTACTCTCTTTTTCATAAAAAAATTTAAAAAAGAAAAATAAAGATACAGGTGCCAGCTCCAGAGTCTGGTAGTTGAGGCTGAGTTCCAGATCTCACAAGGCCAAGTGAGTAGCTTGAATCTGGGCCCTGGGGTTCTTTTTTTTTTTTGGAGAAGTTTTTGCTACAGGGCGTGTACGCTCGCCACAAAGACAGAGAGAGACATACAGACAGAAAGCGAGAAATCACCCCCCAGGCAGGATGGCCACACCACAATCTCTTCTCCTCCATTTTCCTCTCAGGATCTTGGGCACGCACTCACACACGCCCAGTGTAAGATTAACCACTGAGTCCAGGACTCAAACCATGGTCAACTACATGGGAGTCCAGCAACATAGCCATTATGCCAACTGCTGGTCCCCCTGTGGGCTTTAAAACATGCTGAGAAGCATGTGCGTGCGTGCTCCAAATCCTGACAGAATAGAGAAATGGAGGAGAAGGGATTGTGGTGTGGCCATGCCCTGCTAGGGGGGTGGTGCTTTTTCCCTCTTCCCACCCCACCTCCTCACTCTCTGGCAAGCACATACATTCCCCGGCAAATTTTTTAAAAATACATTTTTTTCAAATGATACAAACAGGGCAGCCAGTGGTGATTAAGATGGCTGGATCCCACATGGCAGACTTCGCAGTTTGAGTCTCAGACCTGACGGCTTGAGAAACATGCCAGTGCACGTGCACGCCCAACATCCTTAGAGGAGGGTAGAGAAGGGACTGTGGTGTGGCCGTCTCCACAGAGAGTAATCTCTCCCTTTTCCTTTTTCTCTCTCTTTGAGTGTACATGCTCTATAGCACCAAAAAAAAATTTTCCCCTAGTTATGACAGTTTACATTAAAAAGCATTTTCATAAAGATATAGTTTCTTTCTTCTTTTAAAAGAATTATTTTTATTTAACTTTATTTATTTTTATAATCTTTTACTATTTCCAGATAGATACACACACAGAGAGAGAGAGAGAGAGAGAGAGAGAGAGAGAGAAAGAGAGAAGGAAAGTGAGAAAGCAAGCCTCCAGGTCTGGGACTCGAACCAATGTCGGCCATGTGAAAGTCCAACACCCTTTACCATGCCACCTGCCGGCCCCAAGATAATAGTTTCTTAAGTGAAGGTTTCCCACACTTTTGCCTAGGAGGCGTTCTCCTTTATAAGGAGGCCTGCAGGTCACTCTGGTTAGAGGCTGCTTCTTTGACAGCACATTCAGTCCCCAGGCCTCTCTGAAAGCCTACAGAAGGAGGCTACCCAGTGACCCACTCACCAGGACTCTCCCATGACCAAGTCTCACCATCTAGGAGGTCTGAGGTCTCTAGGCGAGGCAGTTTCCGGGGCCGGCCAGGTCTCCTTCGGGGTCTTGGAGTACTTGGGGTAGGGCGCTGGAGACGCAGCTGCCGGCCCCGGGGCTCATCTTCAGCTGGATTATAGTCGCTGTCCTCTGTTGGGACGTTAAAAGAAGGTGGTCAATGACTGGACCCACCCTTTCACCTCTGATCCTGAGCAGCTCCTCTGAGAAGAGGCCCACTTCCCCACTCCTGTCTATTCCTCCAAGCCCATTGGTGATGATGCTCTCTCTAGAAAGCCCTCCTGGTGCCTGGCTGGCTGGGTGTCCCTCCTGAGCCCCGGCAGTCCTCTCTGTACCTTTCCTGGCTCCAACCATTAGCCTGTGTGGCTAACGTGAATGAGAAAAAGGTACCTCTTCCTCAAAGATATCTTACTGCCCTTGTTAACAGCTAATTGGATTTCAAAAAACTAGTATGCAAAAAGGAAATAACTGGGCCAGCCAGGTAACATGCTGGTTATAAGGCAGCTGAAACCCATGTGGCTGACTTTGTGGTTTGAGTCCTAGATCATGTGGTTTAAGGGACATGTGCATGTGTGCCCCAAATCCTGAGAGAACAGAAAAGGGATTGCAGCATGACCATCCCTTGCTTTCCCTCTTTCTGTCTGTCTCTCCAGCAAGTACATGTGAAAATAGAAAAAAAAAAAAAAACTAATAACATTTTTCTTTTAGTAACAATTGTATATGGAAATGATGCTATTTAAGATACTTTAGAGGGACAGCAGTTGGCGTAATGGCTATGTCGCTATACTCCCAAGTAGTTGACTGTGGTTTGAGTCCCAGACCTGGTGGCTTAAATTCACACCAGGCACGTGTGCATGCGTGCCCAAGATCCCCAGAGGAGAATAAAGAAGAAGGGATTGTGGCATGGCCATCCCCCCTGGGGGGTGATTTCTCATTTTCTGTCTCACTGTCTTCCTCTTTGTGGCGAGTGCACATGTCCTATAGCAAAATCCTCTCAAAAGAAAAATACATTAGGTAAGTGAAATACATCACTTCCAGCCTGGAAGGCAAGGGAGCTGTATTCCTCACAGTTGACTGTGTGGTTTCAATCCCAGCCCTAGCAGCTTGGAAAAACACACTGCATGGGCTGGCAGGTGGCGTGGTGGTTAGAGGTGCTAGATTTTCACATGGCAGAACGCAATGCAAGTCCTGGACCTTGCGGCTTGCTTCCTTACATTCTCTTTCTCCCTCTCTCTCTTTCTCTCTCTGGTCAAATTAAAAAATAATAATAACAAATCGGAACCAGCAATTGGCATAATGGCTATGTCGCTGGACTCCTATGTAGTTGACTGCAGTTCAAGTCCCGGACCCAGTGGCTTAAACTCATGCCAGGTGCATGTGCGTGTGTGCCCAAGATCCTGAGAGGAGAATGGAGGAGAAGGGATTGTGGTGTGGCCATCCCCCCTTGGGGGTGATTTCTCGCTTTCTGTCTCTCTCTGTTTTTCTGGCGAGTGCACACGCCCTATAGCAAAAGCCTCTCCAAAATAATAATAACAAATGAAATTAAGTAAATAATTTTTTTTAAAAAAAGAGATGAAAAACATGCTGTGTGTGTGTGTGTGTGTGTGCCCCAAATCCCGACAAGGTAGAGAAAGGATTGCAGAGTGACCACACCCCAAGAGGGAGTGCTTTCTCCTTCTCCATCTAAGTCTCTCTGGCAAATGCTCATGCCCTCTGACAAATTAAAATAAAAAGGTTGGGGTAGCAGGTCTAGGAACCACAGTAGCCTACCCTCTAGGTCGTCAATGGCACCGGCATCTATGATGTCATCTTCCTCCTCCTCCTCCTCTGGTCCCTCTTCCTCCTGGGTCTTGGTCAAGGTGCCCCACTTCCGCTGACGTACCTTCTTACCAGCTGCTGCTGCTGGAGGGGTAAGTAAGACAGGCCTGCATGTCTGTTCCCAGCTCCCCACCCCCACCACGCAGTCCCAGCTGGAGGCTCTCTGACTCACCTGGGCGGAAGTGCCGCTCTCGCATGTGGCGCAGTAGTGTGGCCTTGGTGCTGCTCCGGTACTGGCACATCTTGCACTTGAACTGCTGCACCACCACCACCTCCATCATGGCCTCCAGGCTCTGCAGGTCCGGCTCCTCAGCACCAGAAGCTGGGGGTGGCTGCACCGGGGAGCTGGGCCCACCCTGCACCTCCCCAGGTGGCCCCAGACATGTGGATGTGGATGTAGGGCCATCAGCCAGGGCCTCGATGGCTGCCAAGCTGTGGGCCAGGGTGGAACTGGACATTGGTGATGTCATGGGGGCACCTGGGGTAGGTAAAGGGATTGGAAGAAATGTTAGGTGGAGCTGGACTGGCCATGAGCTCCAGTTGTCCCTCCCAGGGAAGCCTAGGGGGTCCCAGAACCAAATTCCCCACCAGAGGTCACCTTGCCAGAGAGAAACTGAGGCCCAGGGCAATGGCTAACCTGCCGAGATCACGCAGGGGTTTATGACAGAACCTGTCCTCTCCTATGTCCCCTCTTGCTGGGGTAGTGCCTGGGGTCTTACCATCGTCTGGGCCCTGCAGGATCAGGTACCGTGTGGTCTCAGCCCCGCCATCTTCAGCACTGGTCACAGTGATACAGCCTGGGCAGATGAAGGACAGGTCACACCTCCTGAAGGTATTGCCAGCTCCAGCCCACACCAAAGCCCCCACTCTGGCCTATGGGGGGGCCAGCCCACACTCCTGGTTTACCTACAACTGTAAAACAGCTGCACCTCCCCTCAGAGCCTCGCCTGCCTCCCCTTGCAGGGCTGGGGGTTGGCCTGGGGTAGGTGACAGCTGACCCACAGTCATAGTTAGCCATGGCCACCCCAGCTGCCTGGGCTTGGACCCTGATGCCTGAAATTCTCCTCCTTCCTCTTCAATCTTCCTTCAAGGCAAGGCCCAGCTCTTGGCCCACCTTCTTGGGGTTGGCTTCCCAGACTACCCCAATGCTTTCTGAGCTGATGAGCTCTGGAATCAGGCTGAGCTCATGGCCCAAAGCCATCCTCTGCTTGCTGGTGACAGCAGGTAAGTTATTTTACATCTCTGTGCCCCAGATGCCACACCTGGACTGACAGGGATGGAAGCTGAGCTACCGTAGGTGAAGTTCAGACTGGTACCGCTACAAAGCGAGCGGGAACTGTTTCTATCTTTACTCAGAGCTTGTCACACGTCAGAACCTTACTGCATTGTCTCAGAAGTCTCATGCCATCCACCACTACAAGATGGGATGACTGCTCCCTCCCCACACATCAGACGCAGTGAGGTCACCTCTCTGCGTTCCCATGCCGGAGTGTACCCGCTGGCTGCCAGACTGAAGGAAGCCCTCTGAGGGGAAGCCCTGGCCACCCTCTGCCTAACTCACTCTGGATGAGGTCGGGCCCGATGGTGGACTCGATGATCTTGTCGATGGCCGATCCTAGGTCCGAGGAGGAAGCCGTGCAGTCAGACACCAGCATGTTGGGGTCTGGGAGTGCACTGGAGTGCACCAGTGCTTGGGGCCCACCTGTCACCCCTGCCTCTGGCCCACGGGACACAGAAGAAGAATCAGGGAGGTAGCCGTGAGGCAGTGGGTCTGTGCTCGAGCTGCTTTCAGATACCTCCTCCTGTGGGGTGGAAAACAGGAGGGAAGGATTTAGGGAACCAGGGATGGGGTGGGGCAGGGAAGGGCAGCCCGCCAATTCCCACATGCTAGACAGTGCTCTCTGGCCCAAAGTCACAGGGAGTGGAACCACCCACACTCTTGGGCCCACCGAGGTCCAGTGGGTGAAGCCATCTAGTCGGAGTCCCCCCCAGAAAGTCCCAGGGTTCTTGGCTCCAGCATGAGGGATGGCCCTCCAGTCCCACCCCACAGTCGGGTGGAGCTATTTTCACTGGACTCGTGCATCCATCTTTCCCTTTGCCTGAAACTCTCCAGCATCTCCCTACAGCGAATTCTGACCCAGCTCCTCACCACCACTTAGCTGGTACCTCCTCAGTAAGGACCTCCTCATCCTCAGTGCGGTGCCCCCATCACACTACTGCTCACTGGGCATCAGAGCATCCGCCATGGAGATTGCAGCCCCCACAAAGGCCTGTCACACCTGCCATGGCGCCTGCAGTCCCCCCAGCTGGATCACATGCTGGGCATGTGGTGGGCCCGGCCCTGCTGAATGAATGAAATCCCTGGACCCCCAAAGAGAGGGCTATTGCTGTGTACCTCTATGAAGTGAAGCCGTGAACACAATCACTACCTTGCAGATAGTAATGCAGTAATACAAAGCGCTTACTGTGTGCTGAGCACTGTCGTAACTGCTTTGCATACATTCACTCATTCAATCCTCATGAAAACTCTCCCGAGGCAGGTATTTCTATCATCCCCACTTACAGGTGAGTGAACTGAGACAGAAGTTGGATAGCTTGCTCAGAAGCGTAGTCAGGAGGAAGTTTACAAAGTGCTTCCAGGAGCAAGTCTGGGTGCTCACAGCCCAGCACGACTGGAAGCAGCTACTCCTGCTCCAGTGTACAGCCAGGAAGACTGAGGCTCAGCAGGTCTCCTAGTGAATTAGAGGCAGGGACAAGACTTGAACAAAGACACCTGCCTCTTACAGTGTGAGGGCAGTGGGTGGTACAGCAGGCTGTAGGTGAGGCCACAGCTTAGAACTCGATCCTGGCGGTGAACTAGATTTTTAAGGGAATGAAGACTTTCTACTAATAATTCAGCCTCCAACAAAAGAGCTAGCGGCAGAAGAAGCCACGGGCCTTCAGGATAAGGTTCCACATGGCTACTGTGAACTAGATTTTTAAGGGAATGAAGACTTTCTACTAATAATTCAGCCTCCAACAAAAGAGCTAGCGGCAGAAGAAGCCACGGGCCTTCAGGATAAGGTTCCACATGGCTACTGTGAACTAGATTTTTAAGGGAATGAAGACTTTCTACTAATAATTCAGCCTCCAACAAAAGAGCTAGCGGCAGAAGAAGCCACGGGCCTTCAGGATAAGGTTCCACATGGCTACTGTGAACTAGATTTTTAAGGGAATGAAGACTTTCTACTAATAATTCAGCCTCCAACAAAAGAGCTAGCGGTAGGGAGCCCCCCTCTGCGCCCCCAGCCTTCTCTCTCGGTCTCTCAGTTCCTGTCTAGGCTGTAGGTGAGGCCACAGCTTAGAACTCGATCCTGGCTGTCTGCACTGTATGCCTTGGTTTCCTTTTAACTGAAAGGTGGAAAAAAGTGGTCTGCCTTACAAGGTACGGTGCAAGGTGAAAATCCATGCTACGGGTAAGGGGCGGGGCAGGCAGGGCTCTGGCTCTCAGACAGCCACAAGTGACAAATATTGGCTGCGAACAAGCCCGGCTTGCTGCTACCTCTTGACTGCCAGGATCGGCTACCCACGGTCCCTGCCTCCACCCACGCCAACCAGCTCCATACCAGAGAGTGGCTGCCACGGGACCAGGCTTGCCCCAAGTCGTCAGCCTCCACTGGTCCTGGAACTGCTGCGGCGTCGCTGCTATCGGCGGACACGGCTTCCGAGGTGCCCACACCCAGGCCACTCTCAGAGGGCTCCTCTGGTTGGCCAGGCCGAGGGGCTGCATCGCTACTACTCTCCACCTCGTTCTCCTCCATGAGTTCCGGGGACCACCAGACAATGGGGTGCGGGGTCTGGCGCCTTCACTCTGCGAGAAGAGGTGACCAGGGATTGAACAAGTGGGCCACTTCCCCAGCTTGGGCGACCACAGCCCACCCCGCTGCACCCTTGCGCCCATTTCGCAGATGCAAAGACTGAGTCTCCGGCGGGGCGGGGCGTTCTCGTGCACTGAGGGGTGATGCGGGAGAGTAAGGCCGGGAAGCCTCGCCTCCCGGGCTAGGGCCCTGCCCGGAGAGGATGGCCAGTGGGCGAGAATCTTGACCCTTTCCCTCGACCCCGTG